ATTCCAAAAGGGGACAGGATGGGAGCGAGACAAAGTTGAAAAATTACCTATTGGATACAATGTTCACTATTTGGGTAATGGTATACTAGAAGCCCTATCCCTACCAATAATCCCTACAATATACCCATGTAACAAACGTGCACATGGAATTTGCCCTTGAATTTAAAATAAAATCATTTTTTTTAAAAAAAAGGCCTCTCAAGTCAAACCAACAATGAGAAGCTACTACACACTTATTAAAAAAAAACTAAAATATAAAATTGGCAGTATCAATTGCTAGCAAGGAAGTGGACCAACAGAAATTCTGATTAAATACTGGTGGGAATGAAAAATGGAGCAGCCATTTTTGAAGACCATTTGTTAATGTATTACAAAGTTAGACATAACCTACTGTATAATGCACCAATAGTGCTCCCTGACATTTACTGCTTTGAAAACTTACAAGACCTGTGTGTAAATATTTGTATCAGCTTCGTTCATACTTGTAGATAAGAAGCAGCAGCCAAAATATCCTTCAGTAAGTGAATGAATCAAATAAATTGAGAGGCATTTATATAGTTTATATTATAAATGAAATATAAAGCCATGTGAGCACATGTGTGAATCTCAAATTCATATTTCTATGTGAAAAAAGTAAGACTGGAAAAGATACATATTGTACCATTACCATATAGGAAGGAAAGCAAAGTTATGGAGATAGCCAAGATGAAGGGTTGCCAGGGTTTCAGAAAGAAGTAGGAAGAACTGAATATATGAAGCACAAGGTTTTGAAACTTTCCTGTGGGACACCATAATACTGGATACATGTCATGAACCATTTGTTGAAATCCATATATCTTCACAAGTACAAAAAGTAAAATATAATGTGTGAAAACTGTAAAGTAACAATTTAGAAGACCATAAAATCCCAAAATCATATGGCAAAAGGTACAAAACAATCAAAATTGTATTGCAACTATATGAAAAAATATATAATTTAATGGGGAGAGATAAAGAGCTACTAACCTAGGAAAATTTAGAAAAGATTAGAATATGTCAGACAAAGTATAAAAGAAAGTATACAAAAACCCTGTACTCGAGGTAATGAAGATTTTTTCCCCCATGGTGGTATGGGTTAATAATTCCAAAGGAAAGGAAATAAGTATCTCAAAGATATTTGTATTGTTAAATTCATTACATCATAATTCACAAAAGTCAAGATACAGAAATGACCTAAGTGTCCATCAATGAATAATGGACAAAGAAACTATAGTACAAATACACAATAGAATATTATTTATCCATGAAAAGAGGAAATTCTGCCTTTTGCAACATAGATGAACCTGAAGGACATTAGACTAAGTGAAATAAACATAGAAAGTGAAAATAAGGCATAGGAAAAAAAAATGTATTATCTCTTATATGAGGAATTTAAACTCAAACTCATAAAAGTAGAGAGTGAAATGGGAGTTGTCAGGGGCTGGGAGTAGAGGAAATAGGGAAGTGTTGATCAAAGGGTACAAACTTTCAGTTATAACATGAACAAGTTCTGGGGATCTGATGTACAGCATGAACAGTGATAGATGTGTTAGTTAATTTGATTGTGGTAATCATTACACCATGGATATGTATATCAAATTATCACAGACACTTTGAATATATTCAATCTTTGTCAATTAAATATTTAAAAATAAATAAATATGCATGAGTCCTACTGATATCAGTAAATGATTGTATATATAAATAAATGGGAAGAAGAGAAAGGCTTACAGTGTAGAATATTTCCAGATATTTTATATGGATACTGTACTTCCAAAAGATAGAGCATAATTTTCCACTTCTTAAATGTGGGCTGTGTATAGTAACTTTCTTGCAAAGAATATAACATGGAAAGTACCACACATTGGAGAAAATTGACAAGTCACACTCAGTCAGATTATCAAGATTTACATCAACAGTGAAAAGCTACATTGATAATGTGCCCTTGATATGACATAATGAAAATGGCACTCTATTGTCATCATCACAAAAAGAAAGCCCCATTCTAGTTATGAGAAAGTACCAGACATATAGCGGTTGATGGACATCCTGCAAACTATTTGACCAGTATTTCTTATAACTATCAAAGTCATCAACAACAAAGTCTGAGGATCTGTCTCAACAAAAGGTGCCTAAGAAGACATGATGAGTAAATAGAATGTGGTTATCCTGGATAGAATTCTAAATCAGAAAGATAATATTAGGAAAAAGCTAAGAAATCTGAATGAAGTATGGACTTTTGTAAATAACTATGTACAAATATTTTTCATTAATCACGACAAATATACCATATTTATTTAGGATGTTAATAATAGGCAACCCCATCAGGTCCCCTCCCACTATGGGAATTTTTCTGTCCTTTCAATAAATCTTGCTTTGAAAAAAAAAAAGATGTTAATGATAGGAGAAACTAGGTATGGGGAAAAAATATATATTTTAAAAATAAATATATAACTGTTCTAAAATTTTAAAAATGTATTTTACAAGTTGAAGTATTATATTTTATCCACTATTTTCTATGTTAAGGATGGAAATGATACCCATGGTAATCAAGCCTGCCATGTCGTTACAAGTTCATGGTTTCAATTTTTATTATTCAAGTGTTCAATTTTCGAATTAAAAGTCTCTTAAGCTGTCCAAGTAAAATTGTAGATATAGTTGATGGAAGAAAAATGTTAATGTAGTCACCATTACCTTAGCCTTTGAACTCCATTTGAATAAATCAACTCTAAACTAGCTAAACTTTGGAAAAGAGAAAACAAAACTGACATGACAGTAATATACTCTGAGCAAACATGTGACAGGAAGAAAGGAATGCATATTAATTTAGGTGAGGGAGTATTATTTCAGAGAAAAATAAGGGATGTTAATGGTGCTTTTTAACAGTAAGACTTCTGTAGGAAGAAAATATTTTTAGAATTTGACTCCAAAAAAATAAGGTAGAGACACAGACACACAAAATGGCAAAGTGATGAATGTTTTCAAAAGTCATTATTTCCTTGAATTTCAGTTTTGCCTGAGGATAGTTTTGATGGGACTTTAGGTGCATAAATAAAATCCTTTAATTATTAGAAATAAAATAATAGAAATAAAGAATGAAACGCGTCCATAGTCATACAGTATTATTCATTAAAATTTTATTTGGTTAAAAAACTTTAGAAAAAGTAAGAGAACAGGTAGATATGAATATTTGGGCACATTTTAAGTGTTTAGTTGAGTTATTCAAGTTAGCATTTAAAAGGAAAAAGTTTCATTGGTTATTGGCAGATAAAATCAAATTACATACTACAAGAAAAAGATTGACAGTGGTGGGAAACTATTGGGGGGGAAAGGGAGGTGGGATTAACGGTAGTAAATATCTGTCTGGGGATGGGGAGACACCCCTTATCAACAAGGGTGCCTGAACTAAACATATTTGTGTACCTAACCCTTAACTGTACCCCACAATACCAAAATAAAAAATATTGATTAATTTTTAAAAAGTCAAATTACATTATATACTGTGACCTTAAGACCGAAATAAGCTAAATACAAAGTAGGAGCAGGGCTTTTCCAGATTAAGTATACTTTGTCCTCATTTGCTCTTAGAGTGAAATATAAATATTAAAGCAACTAACTAAACTAATTATTGGCTTATTATAGGTAAAATAGTAATCTCATCTTTTATCGATGGTTTGGATAGGACTTTAGGGAGAAATTGTGAGAAGGAATGCAGTACAAGGAAATGAACACAACTTATAAATTATAAAATTTGTTCTGAGCCTGTTTTCTTGAGAAATTCTTGGCTGTAATAAGCGTGTATTGCTTACACCGTAAAGAAAATAAGCAGTTTTGTGGGTTCTTGTTAGCCCAGTTATTCTTCTTGTCCATTTTGTTATATGAAAGGGAAGCTAGTCTGAAAAAAAAAGGAAATTACTTAATTGTTGACCTGTGTGAATAGTCAAAGAAGCAGAAGCATAACGAACACTGGAGATTATTGCTTAAGTTGTCCCTGCTTCTTGCTTTTGCCAAGGAAAGTCAGGCTCCCTTCACAAGAGGGCTATAAGTATGGAATAGGAGGTCAACACGCTATAATTCTAGGTTTTAGTTTAAAGAACACAAGAAGAAATCTTTCATGAGCTTAGGAAAATTGGAGAAGTGTACTTCAAGCAACTTGGGTCTCTAAAGCTCTATTTTAGAAAATCAATAGCAATATCAGGCAGTACTATACTAAGAGAAATTTCTAAAGCATTTATAGAATTTTATATCTTTCAATAGAGAGTTTTGATTTTAAGTTCCTGTGCCATTGATGCAATGTATTGATTTTTCTTCCCATTGTTCATGAGGTCCTTTTATTTTTATAAGACTATCACTAAATGTGTCCATCAATTCAGGAATAAAAGGATGAATATACAAATTATTGCCCAGAAAAATCTTCGCTTCATAAAAAAGTAAAAGAATATAAACTATGTTTATAGATTATAATCTATAATCTAGGTTTTTCAGACTTTATGTCCACTGTGTATATTTCTGACTCATAAAGTATCATGTGATCTGGAAATCATTACTTTTATTATTACTTCAGGATCAATAGCAAGACACACTAGTACAATAAAAGAGAGTCTAAAAATTAAAGGCAAGTTTATTGCTGTAAGCGCTACCCTTCTCTTCACCTGTGACCACAACTAAAGCATAAGCAATTTTAACATAAAAATTAATAATTCTCTACTTATAGTTTAAATGATTAAGATAGTTCTGACACTCTTATATAAAAAGCATTTGCAAGCCTCTGGCCTAACCCTCCCTTACTCTTATAAACTCATAACAGCAGAATACATTTTGGGGAGACTGATTTATTCTTAAACCACTTTTACCAACAACTAAGAAGTGTTGACCGAGTTCTGCCTTATCCCTGTCTCACATTTCTCTTCTTTTTCTACTTTCTCGTGACCAATTTGAGATCAAAATATTTTCTAACTACTAGATGGTAAGAAAAATCTTACTTTTTAGCTGACCAAACAGTTCTCTGGTCCTTTCACCTTGTGCTTGAAAGAGGTGAGGCCTGAAGATGAAGGCAACATAAACAATGATTACAACTTCAAAACCTAGTCTTGGCATTTAATAGTTTTAATTTTGCCTAGAGGTGTCAGCTGATGTATTTTTTCCTATAGATTTGTCTTTATTTCTACCTTAACAAAATGACTGAGTTCAATTTAGAAGGAGTAAACATTTTATGAAATTGTCTGAAATATAGTTTCTTTACAAAAATTTTTATATTTGAGCATACAGAAACTTTTTGGAAGTTGTCATCAATTTGAAACATAAGTTCAATGAAAGGAAAAGTATATTTCAAAGCCTCTTTAAATTTCCATTTGCACAGTGTTTAAAAAAGAAAATATATAAAGAGAAAACACATGTTCATAAATATCTCAACTAGAAATAATAATTTTAAATATATTTGTTGACATTTATTTATTTGTTTATATTATACAAAGATAGAAACATTGAATATATATTTTTAAGTGGCTATTTTTATTTAACAACATATTGTAAATGTCACTAAAATAGTTTGTGAATCTTATTTTAATGTCTAATTTTAAATATATATGGATATAGCAATTTTTATAACTATCGTATATTTTTAGACATTTAGTTCATTCTCTACTTTCTACTTTAAATAATGCAAATGATTATTTTTATCTGATTATGGACAAATTATGTCCCTCAAAATTCATTTATCAAAGAACAAATCAAAACTTCTGATATTTTGATTTTGTACTAGCATAAAGAAGCATTAAAAACTAAATTTCGCTGGGCTGGGTGGCTCAGCCTGTAATCCTGTGCCTTTGGGAAGCTGAGGTGAGTGGATTGCCTGAGCCCGCGGGTTTGAGACCCACCTGGGCAGAGAGACCTCATCTCTACAATAAATCAAAAAATCAACCGGGCGTAGTAGCACATGCCTGTAATTCCGGCTACTTGGAAGGTTGAGGCGGAAGGATCGCCGTAGCCCAGCAGGTCGAGGCTCCCGGCCACCGCACTCCAGAATGGGCGACTGAGTGAGACTCCAACTCAAAAAAACAAAACAAAACCTACATTTCTAGTTTTGAAGCCACCCAATCTGCGGAATTTTGTTATAACAGCCCTAAGAAATTGATACAAGTGCATTTTTAGAAACAGAATCACTGCTTAATAACTTATAAGCTTTTGAAATTTTGGATTCACATTTTCAAATCAGAATCACTACATCAAAATTTCTGAAGTTTTGAAATTCTAGATTCATATTAACATTTTGCCTTCTGGAAAGAATATAAAAATTAGTGTTTTGTTATGCTCTCACAAAAATAGTAATGCGTTAAAAAGAAAAAATTAGAAGGAAGGAGGAAAGGATGAATAAAGGAAAAGAGAGAAGGAAGGGGAAAAAAGCAAAAGCATAGCTGGAAAAAAAAATTTCTACCTACAAATATAGAGAGATAGCTATTAGGCATATTCTGTACACTGATATATTTGTTCTATTTATAATATCCCAAAACAATTTTTTTCTACTGTTGAACATGAATTAACTACTGGTTACGAATATGTGGAATAGACAGATTTCAATTCTTAATAATTACAAGCTGCAGAATTTATAGATAATTTCAGAGAAGTAATAAATATTATATGACCCTATGATAGGAATCTTAGCAGGTGAACAAGCAAGATTTGCCTGTTCAAGGATAACTTATATAAAAAGTTTGCCTTATTTTATCTGTGTTGATCTATAAATAGTTATTTCCTAACACTATAAGAATTTGAGAAATGTTCACACCTACACTTTTGTGCAAAACTTATGATCTGAGGTTGTAAATAGTACAGAATAGTAAAAATAACTAGCCAAGAGTAGTACCTAGACACTAGAAGATATTTTTGAAAATACAAATTTTAACGTTTGCAATATAAGGACTATCACTAGTTCTCATTTTCCTAATATGACTCTCAAATGCAATTGCTTTTGCAATTTCAACCTTAACTTGGTAATTAAGTGTGATGCCAACAATGAAATACAACCCCTAGTTTAACAAAATCAATACTAGAGTAGATATATTTAAATGAGTCTTCTAATTTCAAAAGGTTTTCATGGGAGAAGATCTCTTTCTAGTCAAAATGATAAATTCTGTTAACCTTAGTAATTTGGGAAAATTAGTTTAACACCATATTAAATCTAGATGAACTAGAAGTTGCTGCATTAACAACAGTCCTGAGGTCTGTTAATTATATGATTTTGTGTTCTTCATATATGCGATCAAGCAATAAATTTTGATTCTTTAAGGTGACAACTATACTCAAGAGTAAGAATGCAAATTATTTTTGTCATTTTCTAAAGTTGAAATGAGATCTATAACGAAAATATTTATTTAGTGTTATTGTTTTACGTAGCCACATTTAGGTTTAATTCTACATATCCTGAAGCTAATAAAATAGAATTGCATCAACAATTTTCTTTCTTGTCTTCAGCTCAAAATAGGCCCATGCTAGAGTTGCAACACTACTTATTATTTATAGCTATATGGAAATTTTATGTCATTTATCAACATCCAGCAAATATTTTTACATGAAACATTTTTACATAGCAAGGTTTACATGAAAACGGCTCCATTATCAAACTAATTTTAGAAAATCTTAGACAAAAACAATTTTTTTTTTTTTTTTTTTTTGAGTTAGAGTTTCACTCTGTCACCCAGACTGGAGTGCAATGGCCACTCCCGGCCACCGCAGCCTCGACCTGCTGGGCTCTGGCGATTCTTCCGTCTCAGCCTTTCAAGTAACTGGAACTACAGGCGCGCTACCACGCCCGGCTAATTTTTGAATTATTGTAGAGATGAGGTCTCACCACGTTGCCCAGGTGGGTCTCGAACCCGCGGGCTCAGGCAATCCACTCACCTCAGCCTCCCAAAGCGCGGGATTACAGGCTGAGCCACCGAGCCTGGCTGACAAAAACAATTTACCTCGTTTTTTGTTTTTTGTTTTTTCCCTTGCAGGAATTCTCAGAACCACTAGTATGTTAAATTTTACTGGAAATTCCCAAGGAACGTATGGATTATTCAATATTTGCCAAAGACCAGACTGATGATGTCAATAATAATCAAATTAAATTATGGTTCCAATGCACTTAAAGTTGAGTTCTATTGACATTGCCTAGGAAATAGCTCTAAATTCTAAAGTTTTGTTTTCATTCTCATTGGTATTATTGTGGTTTTGACCCTACTTATCTCATTGCTGCATTATTACAACAGTTCTGCAAATATTGTCCTCTTGCCAAAAATCAATTCTCCCTGTAAATTATCTTTCTAAAATCAGATCACATTAGCTAGGCTTTGAAACCTTCAACAAAAACTCTGTTTAGTGTTTGACATCACTGCAACATGACTCTATTTTCTTTAGCAGTAGCACATCCATATACTCTGCCGTTTATTTGCTTCATATGAGGACCCCATGTGTTCATTAATTACTCTCTAACTGCACAACAAAATTCCATGCCGTTGCCATTTTATTTGAAAACCTAACTACTTCACTTCTCTTCTCATATTTTAGGGGTTAGTTAAAATCTAATCTGTCAATGCCTTTATTTTAATTCCTCCCTTTGAATTAATTGATGTTTTCAAATAACTTCTTGAAGGATTTTATACTTATGTCTATCAGAAAATATATGTATCTTTCTTAGTGTGCTCTAAGACTATACCAGCCAGGAGATATATAATATTCCAAGGAAAAGTGATGTCTTTAAAAGACAACCAATCCATGAGACTTTTTTTTTTTTATTTGAAAATAGAGTTTATTAGTGAGAAGAGGAGAATGAAAAAGGAAGATTCATCGCAGAAAGACCTGCCATGGGCAAGTTTCTCAAAAAGAAAAAAGCCAAGACTTATTTTTACTAATTATGTTGCAAGACAGTACTTATCTCTAAATTCTAGTTTCACCTACTCTTATCTCCTGTACTTTATTGTGTAATTCCTAACAATAGAAGGCAAACTCAGGTTGAGTCATTACAGTAGGAAGATTTGGGTGTTTAAAGTTAGAGAATGAAGAACAAATTAGAGTGAAATAATGATAGCACTGGTTGGATTATTTATTAGATGCTTACTGTGTGTAAGGCACCTTGCTAAACACTTTATATACACTATTACATTTATGATAGTATATATAGAGACAAGATAACATCAATAAAAGATAATTAAAAAGATGTCTTATTTAGATTTCAGAATATTTCCCAGTCTAGGTACTACACTCACATAACCATATGCATTTTGAGTGTTGTAAAAGATGTCCGTAAAGATGCCACAAATGACCATAGAAGTCTGACTATTATGGGTTGAATTGTGTCCTTTTCCAAAAATAAAAATAAAAATAATAATAATATACTGATATTCTAAACCCCGGTACCTCATAAAATAATCTCATTTGGAAATAGGGTCCAAATGCAGATGTCATTATCTAAATTAAACTGATATCATGGTGAAGTTGGGTGTCCCTAATGCAATATGACTGGTGGTTTGAGAAGGAAAGAAACACAGAGACAAGTATGAGAGGGGAAAATACCACTTGACAAAGGAAACAGAAACTGAAGTGCTGAAGCTACAAGCTAAGAATTGCAGGATCTCTAGCAAGTCACCAGAGGCCAGAAGGAGGTGAGGAAGAGTTTCCCCTCCAGGTTTCAGAGGGAGTATCACCCCACTGACATCTTCATTTCAGACTTCAAGTACCTTCAGGACTGTAAAAAAAATAAATTTCTGTTTTTTTCTGTCTTTCAATTTAGAGTACTTTATTATATCAGCCCTAGAAAACTAATACACCAAGCTCACATAAAGGTGATAGAACATTTCCCGATTTGAGCTAGTTTTGAATATCACTCAAAGTAGTAGTACTAGTTTTCTTTTTCTTTTTCTTTTGAGTTGGAGTCTCACTCTGTCGCCCAGACTGGAGTGCAGTGGCCGCTCCTGGCCACCGCAGCCTCGACCTGCTGGGCTCCGGCTCAGCCTTCCCAGTAGCAGAATGACAGGAATGCGCTACCATGCCTGACTGATTTTT